CATTAACAAGGCCTCAATTACAGATGTATAATCACCAAAATTCTATTGTGTACAGCTGTATTTCTTCTACACATTACTGGTTCTTTCCTCATCATATCTCACAATCCACAATCAATGGTAGACATGGTAGCACTGCTTGTACCCTAATTGCTATCCTTATGGCAAACAGATATCATAATACAAAGCCAGCCCTTCAATTGTTTGCTAATGGCATCTCACACACATGGTTAACATTGCTTACTTCGAGCATCATTGCAGGAAACAAACTTCATGATGACATGTTCCACCATGCGCCAGTCTATCTTCAAGTCCAAATGGCCTCACGACTTCTTGCATCACAGATCAGCAAATTTCAACTTGGCCAAGAATTACCAGTAAATTTCACGACAGTAAGAGGTGATCCTGACACAAGCAATTTGGAGTACTACCTAAGGTTGATGATAGAATCCACATCAAATTCATGTTCTGCCATTGTCACATTCCGTGCCAATACCTTTGCGTTTGCCAAAGGCGCTCAAAGGAACATCATTCTTCTTGATAGTCATCTACATTCCCAATATGGAGCACTGATTGCATCTTGTCATGCCAATGATATCTCCAGTCTTTTACAGTGGATGAAATCTGCACACTTTTCTACAAACTTTAACCTTTGTACCTTAACAATGATTMAYTTTCTGTAGCTAGTTTTAAAAAGCTTTGAATTCGTTCAACATAATGTATTTACATGTAAACTTAAACTTTTAAGTAATTTTTTACTTACATGTAATTTTTTGATAAATTCATCAGAATTCATAAATACAAATTCTCCTTTCAATGAGGTATCATTCTTGACTTGGCTTTTATTAAATCACCTGAAATTTAATCGACATATTATGATAAATAATTTGATAATTAGTTTTCAAGAGCACATGGTAGTTGAATTCCACAAGAAAAAGTCCGATATTGTCCGTAATTTCAAGAAGAAATTAATCACAAATAGTGCTGACGGTTACAGTATTACATACCTTTCGTGCCTTTTGTCGATCAAGTCCTTAAAAAGTGAGTAAAAACTTAGAAATTTGCCTCTATTTTTTAACCATTATTCGATACTCYGCCATTTTGCTTTTTTTCGGAAATGCATGCGCAGTGAGTTTTTCACCAGTGTCGGAGCCGAGTGTACCTAAATGTCGTGGGTCGTGGGTATGAAGTCGTGGGTACGAAAAATTCATTAAAATCACGTAAAAATCACATAGAAGTGAAGAAAAATGTTTAGATACTCTAAAGAATTAAAAAAAATTAAGATTAGATAAATTTTGAATGAGAACGAGAAGCATAATCAATCATCGATATCGATTTACACCGGGAATGACATTGAATAGTGGCCAGCGGTATTTCTCGTAAAGATTCCCTAAAAATACGAAATC